CTTCTGCTTTGACATTTGTAGCCATAGACTGAAGGCAGTCAAATCCTTCAGAATGACAGCTACTTTTGTATTAGAACTTAGGCACAGATGCACCAAGATAAATGTAGATAAAGCTTTCCCAGTGCTATTAGTTCTGGAAACAGTGCTGAATATAAAGTCATAATTCAGGATGAACCAATTTTAGAAAAAAAAGTATATGTGTTCATGTATAGCACAGGCAGTGAAAACTAGGACAAGATCTTATGCTATAAAATAATTGTGAATCAGAATTACAGCTTTTATTTTTTCAGGAGTATGTGATTTGACTATGATATATATATTATGTCATACTGTAAGTCTTGTATTTTATTTTTTCTAATTACAGGGTATGTGCACTACTTGCCAGAGAGAGACAGAGATAAAGAGGGAGAGAGAAAGCAAGAAAGCATGGAAAATGGGCAAACTGTAATCCCTTCCCTCCATATCTCCCACCTTTCAGGATTTTGGGGCATACACACACACACACACACACACACACACACTCACAATGCTTTTCAAGTCACTGGGTCTGGGACTTGAACCACATCATCAACCACATGGGATCCAGATGCCTTAACTACCAGGCCAGATGCTGGCCTCAGTGTAAGTCTTTTAAAGAACATAGTATGTCACTTTGTGGAAAAAATGATTTTCTGCATTGCACTGGAAAATACATATTAATAAACTTTAAAAATTGGTGCATTGAGGAAATTGTTTAAGACAATCTCTGATGAATAATGTTTATGAATAGGAATCATTATGTAATATATAAAATAAATAGTAATGATAATTACAGCTAACGTTTATTGTATATATTATATACTAGGTAATATTCTAAGCATATAACATACATTAATTTATTCCTCACAATAACTTTATGCAGTATTTATAATTGTCTCCATTTCATAAATGAGAAAACTTAATTACTTATAACAAAATAGATGTATATGAAGGGGTCTTCAAAATACCCCTTTATTTTTGCACCAAAATATGGTACTATATTAGTACCAAAATAGTACCAAAATATGGTATAAAAATAACCTTGCACTTTAATTCAATTTTTCCACAAACTTTTTGAAGTAATTGCTTATATAAAACACACAGACATATATATATATATATATATAAAATAAACTTTAAAAACTATATTATTATGTATTGTAAAACTTTATTTTATATAAAATGTTATTGCTTTATATTACAAATTTTCACTTTATATGCATTTTATACTTATAAAACTAGTTTAATAATTAGTTTTAAATACATATGAATATATGTGTTTATTCCACAAATATCTCTAAGTCAGTTTTTATACCATACTGTTGGTACATAAGTTAAATGAGTGTGATAACTCAATTTATATTCTCCTTCCTCCTGAGTGTGGTGGAGAGTGGGAAGTAATAATGGTGGGTTGATGACATATGACATGTTTGGATGTCTCAAACAGCAATGAAGGATAAGAGATTATTATCACATAGTTCTTTTATTTGAAACAACATCATTCCTACAAATGAAGGTTCAAAGAAAAAGGGAAGAGAAGTGACTTTTGAGGTTCACTAAAGATTACCAGCAGTGGTAGGTGGTTAAAGTGACTGGATCCTATATGGCTGACTTTGTGATTTGAGTCCCTAGTGGCATGACAAACATACCAGGCACATGTACATGCTTGCCCAAAATCCAGATATGAGAGAAAAATGGAGGAGGAATGGAGAAGGGATTATGGTGTGAC